TTGCCCTCGAACCTGGCTTCTCCTTTTCCAGATGAGCCCAGCTTCTATTCTTGTTCCTGTAGCTACTTCAAACCCTGCCTCCCCACTGTTAATACCCCCGACCCACATTCCCATCCCTTCCTTGCCTCCAGGAGGTACCAGAACCTGGGGACCACTTTCCAAAAGTGGGGAAGGCACCTACATGGAATATGTGTCTAGTTGGATATTAGGTGAGTTGAGCTGATGCATAGGAAGTTTTGAGAAGTAGGTCACCGGTGTCTTGCTAGTTAGTGAAGTGATTTACTGAGACATGACATGACTCAGAGCAGGTGACCTGTGATCTTTGTTTGTGTATAACAAAACACTGCAGACTAGCTATGTCTAAAGGAAGGAGGCTAATTTGGCCTCACAGTAGAGGCTGAAAAGTCCAAGAATATGAAGCTAATGTGGTCCCATGCTGCTCATTCACACCAGAAATAAGAGCCATGAAAGAGAGGGACAAAGGGTACTGGATGCTACGTAGTAGCTTATTCTTGTAACTACGCCTGTCTCTTGGGAATAACTGTAATCTAAGACCCTCCCCCCCCCCCATGATCACAGGGTTAGCCTAAGACCATTGGAAACATATTTACATTACAATTCATAACAGTAGCAAAATTGCAGTTATGAAGTAGCAACAACAATAATTTCATGGTTGGGGGGTCAGCACAACACGAGGGACTATAAAGAGGCACGGCATTAGGAAAGTTGTGAATCACAGCCTTAATCCCTTTATGAGGGTGGAACAGCATTACCCAGTATCTCTTAAAGGTCTTGGCACGCCTCAATACCATTCCATTAACAGTTAAATTTCAACCTGAGTTTTGGCAGAAAAACACATCCAAACTGTAGCATCAGCCCTTCTGGCTTTGGGTTCTCACAATGTGGTGTTAACCCGGGAATTCATAAGAGCATGGGTCCCTCTCAGGAAGGAGTCGTGCAGTTTAAATTGCCTGGGATATCTGGCTATTTGCATGTGGACTGGAACCATAGACCTGAGTAAAGATAAAGGGAGCCACATAGGCTAAGAAAGACACACCCCCTTCCCGGTCCCTGGTCCAAACAAAAGGAAGATGGCCCTAGCATAGCTCCTCTCCAGACCAGGGCAGCTGTATTCTGCGTGGAGAAGTCAGAAGTGGGATGGGGCCCTGTGTGGTGAGAGGGGACTTCGGGAGAGTGGGGGGGGGTGCTGGTTTCTATTCTTGTCTTCTAGTGTGTGTTCAAAGTGGGACCTTTGCACATTGGCAGGTCTGCAGACATACACAGGACACCTCTCAGGGAAGTGGATATCTTAGGAGCTCAGAAAAGACAAGTATCCTGCTCAGAGTTAATTCCTTGACCACTCTTTGGGGTGGGGCTTTGAATATGTCCTCTTTCTGTTCTTCTTACCCTACCTCTCGTGCCTACCATCC